TGCTTGTTGTGTTAAATAATTTTTGCCACATCACGTGGTAAACTGTTGACAACGTCCGAGCAGACTCGTTTACGTAGAGGACCAACGTCACGGCATTGCCGTGTGTGTAAGGCCATTCCTACGCCCACGTCATGCCCCCATTCTCTACGCGTGCGCCGGCAGAGGGGAGGGGGAGCAGCTTTCATCTTGAAATTTGACCCATTTCCACGGCGCGTAGTGTTGCAAATTTTGGCAGACGTCATCATAAATGCCTCGTCTACGCATTGCGCTTGTCAGCTCAAAGTTGTCAAACCTGGTGAGTGGCCCTTCAAAACCGGAGATCTATTCCGCGGCAAATTCGTGGAGACGTTCAAGAACGTCGTCCGCTGGAGATGAGAGTACGCTGCTGATTAGAGTACGTTGATGAGAGTACGTAACTCCCCAATAAAAATGTGACAATCTTCGCGGAAGAAATGAAGCGACTGTTCCACCACTCTGACCCCGACGTGCTTAAGGAGAAGAAAGTTCATTTTCTCATGTGAGAGGTCAAGCAAGAACTCTTCACTGGAAACCTCCCGAAAACCGTCCAGAAATTCCTATCAGAAGCAACAGCGATTGAGAAGACGCTGGAAATGCGAACCCGCCAGTGCAATCGGCAAACAATGCAAGACAGTCCAGCTCTTCATCCTCTCGGCTCCGACGAACTGCGCGAAACGATACGAGTGATCATACGAAAGAACTTCACAAGCTCTTAGCCTCATCATAGCCGCAAGTGGACTCGATCACCGACATTGTTCGCCAATACAGCAGTCGATCTGCACCCCTGAATAGCCACAGCCGCAAGCCATGAGCTACGCTGTTGCCGTCCGACGCTACGCTCCCACTCCACGCCCACGTCAACAGGTCGCACCGTCGCAGTTCCCCCGCCAGACACAGAACGCTTGGAGGGAAACCAAAGAGTGGCGTGCCCCGACCACAGACCTCTATGCTATCAATGCGGAGACGCTGGCCAACGTTCCGCGGCCCTACAGGCGCGACACTCCGATCATATTGGCGTTTTCTACGTAAATGTCTCGGATCACTCTACCTCGGATGACTTGATGGCCGCCGTGATCACAGATGGAAAACACGTCAATGGCTTCTCCTTTAGAGCCTACACAGTGACGCAAGCTGAGGAAGTAGCCATTGCTTTGGCCGCCTCGCATCCCTCCTCACGCACTATCCTGACAGATTCGCGCTCGGCCTGTTCCCAATACCTTCAGGGTTCCATTGCCCCGCTGGCAGCTCACCTACTGCGGGCAGCCTCTTGGCGCTTTAACCCTCACCCCATTCGTATAGTATTGACCCAGGCCACTCGGGCCTGCCCGGCAACGAGGCGGCGGACGCCACTGCCCGCGGCGCTTCTCTCATCCGGGCTGTTGCTTCTCCATGTCCAGAGTCGGAATCTAACTATACGAGCCTGACGCACTTCTGCGGAATTCTTGCCCATTACGGGCTTCGCCCCGTCTCTACCCGGACCCGCACGTGGTCTGGAGAAAGCGGACGAGCGAATACTATGCCACCTCCAGACTAACATCTATCGTGGAGTGGCGACCTCCAGGCCCTTTTTTTTTTGCTGAAAATTGGTGGCGCCTGCTCGACCTACCGGGTCCTGGCCGACACCTACCACGTCGTCGCTTCATGGCCCGCCAACCCCCTTTCTTTTTCATCACCTTTTCCCATTCTATCTAAAGAGGCTTGAGAGGAGTACCTGCTCAGCTGATCCACCTTGGATGATCAGTGGTCCTTAGTGAGGCGAGCTAGAGCAGCGGCAACCTCACTGCATTGCCGTGTACGTAAGGCCATTCCTACGCCCACGTCATGCCCTCATTCTCTACGCGTGCGCCGGCAGAGGGGAGGGGGAGCAGCTTTCATCTTGAAATTTGACCCATTTCCGTGGCGCGTAGTGTTGCAAATTTTGGCAGACGTCATCATAAATGCCTAGTCTACGCATTGCGCTTGTCAGCTCAAAGTTGTCAAACCTGGTGAGTGGCCCTTTAAAACCGGAGATCTATTCCGCGGCAAATTCGTGGAGACGTTCAAGAACGTCGTCCGCTGGAGATGAGAGTGCGTTGCTGGAGACGAGAGTACAACTCCCCAATAAAAATGTGACAATCTTCGCGGAAGAAATGACGCGACTGTTCCACCACTCTGACCCCGACGTGCTTAAGGAGAAGAAAGTTCGTTTTCTCATGTGAGAGGTCAAGCAAGAACTCTTCACTGGAAACCTCCCGAAAACCGTCAGAAATTCCTATCAGAAGGCAACAGCGATTGAGAAGACGCTGGAAATGCGAACCCGCCAGTGCAATCGGCAAACAATGCAAGACAGGTCCAGCTATTCATCCTCTCGGCTCCGACGAACTGCGCGAAACGATACGAGTGATCATACGAAGAACTTCACAAGCTCTTAGCACTTCATCATAGCCGCAAGTGGACTCGATCACCGACATGTTCGCCAATACAGCAGTCGATCTGCACCCCTGAATAGCCACAGCCGCAAGCCATGAGCTACGCTGTTGCCGTCGACGCTACGCTCCCACTCCCCGCCCACGTCAACATGTCGCACCGTCGCAGTTCCCCCGCCAGACACAGAACGCTTGGAGGGAAACCAAAGAGTGGCGTGCCCCGACACAGACCTCTATGCTATCAATGCGGAGACGATGAGCCAACGGTTCGCGGCCCTACAGGCGCGACACTCCGATCAATATTGGCGTTTTTCTACGTAAATGTCTCGGATCACTCTACCTCGGATGACTTGATGGCCGCCGTGATCACAGATGGAAAACACGTCAATGCTTCTCCTTTAGAGCCTACACAGTGACGACAAGCTGAGGAAGTAGCCATTGCTTTGGCCGCCTCGCATCCCTCCTCACGCACTATCCTGACAGATTCGCGCTCGGCCTGTTCCCAATACCTTCAGGGTTCATTGCCCCGCTGGCAGCTCACCCTACTGCGGGCAGACCTCTTGGCGCTTTAACCCTCACCCCATTCGTATAGTATTGACCCCGGCCACTCGGGCCTGCCCGGCAACGAGGCGGCGGACGCCACCTGCCCGCGGCGCTTCTCTCATCCGGCTGTTGCTTCTCCATGTCCAGAGTCGGAATCTAACTATACGAGCCTGACGCACTTCTGCGGAATTCTTGCCCATTACGGGCTTTCGCCCGTCTCTACCCGGACCCGCACGTTGGTCTGGAGAAAAGCGGACGAGCGAATACTATGCCACCCTCCAGACTACATCTATCGTGGAGTGGCGACCTCCAGGCCCTTTTTTTTTGCTGAAAAATTGGTGGCGCCTGCTCGACCTACCGGGTCCTGGCCGACACCTACCACGTCGTCGCTTCATGGCCCGCCAACCCCCTTTCTTTTTCATCACCTTTTCCCATTCTATCTAGAGAGGCTTGAGAGGAGTACCTGCTCGGTTGCTCCAACTTTGATGGTCAGTGCTCCTTGGTGAGGCGAGCTAGAGCAGCGGCCACCTCCACTGGCATCGCGGAATAGGGTCTTGCCACTCGGCATGCAATATGCCGCCACACTATGGTACATTTCCCGTAATAAAATGTTTTCCACAACCACCACCACTACCGCCGCCGCCGCCGCCGCCGCCGCCGCCACCACCACCACCACCACCGCCGCTGCCACCGGCGCTGCCACCGCACCGCCACCACCACCGCTGCCGCCGCCGCTGCCGCCGCCGCCCCAACCGCAAGTTAGTACCACCACATATGACTGCACGGTTTCGTTATCTACGCGCCGGCTCCATAGCGACGCGAAAAGCCACGCGACACCGCCGAGTATATATCACCGGAGCGCAGCGGACACCACGAGGATCATCTCGTTCTCTATCACCAGGCCGCTACATGTCGCCGCACCGCAGGCAGTACAGCCCAAAGAGTTCGAGGTCAATCTCCGGAGCTCTTACCAGGACAGGAAGTGGTTATAAGAGGGAAAAGAAGAGAAAAGTGAGCTCCGTAACTGTCTGCATCAGGGTGTGACACCTGAGCAGTAGCTCACGAGGGATGGGGGTAAAGAGAGAATAAAAGGATATGATTAAAGGTATAAAGAGAGAGAGAGAGAGAGAGAGAGAGAGGTGCTAGGACAGCGAGCGAGCGAGGACATATTGAGGACATAGGAGAGATAGGAAAGATGGAAACACGGTCACAGGAGTCCGAGGACGGAACGCCAATTGCGAGAGCTCTTGTCGGCGACAGGAGGTGGCGTAGGGCTGATCCATTCGGCCAGAGCTGCGCTGACGTCGTCGTAGGGGATTGGCGGCAGGAGGTGGCGTAGGACCGGCCCAGTCGGCCAGAGCTGCGCTGTCGTCGGAGATCGCGAGGGCACAACCGGTCGGCACGGAATCCAGCGAGCGAGTCCTGTAAAGTGGGAGCCAGTCGGGCTGGCAAATGGTCTTCTTGCGCTATGTGTGCATGGCGAAAACAAAATTTCTGGCAGTGGGGGAGGGGGGGCATGGGATTTTTCCTGGTTGCGTCTGTCTAGGGTGTAACATGAAACAATTTGTTGTCGCCAGATTTCCTACGGAGCACCATCTAGGAATCTTTAGGACTGACCTGGGCGTTGCAACGTGAAGCCTAATTGTCAACTCAAAGCGGCACTCCGGAGTGTCCAGCGTCTGGGATGTCGACAAAAGTAATCAGTTCTTCCATATTTCAGTTACTTCTTTTCGTTTTTTAACCTGCGTCTACACGAGTAGCGTAGCAAACCGGACGCGCGGACGAGGCTACCTTTCCTTATTTCTCTGCTTTGCGGCTCCCTCCTGTAAGGGTATACAGGCAGTTATCTTTCCCATTCTGATTGGTGGTTTTGCGAGTGCCTGGAAACAAAAATATTTTTTTAAAAAGAAAGATGATTAGAAAGGGCGTGCAAGTGCAAGTACAGGGTGTGCCACACTTGCCAAGACATTTGTTGCAAGCGCTATATCTTTATTGCCCATTAACGAACGAAAGAAGCATGCATGTTCTGAACAGTTCAGAAAAGGAAGCTTCCAACCCGCTTTATTTGCGATGACAATGAGTCCCGGGATTGTATTTCAAGTTGACCACTTTCGCCGGTACTGCCAATTCTTCAGGACTTCACGAAATAGCCTCTGGAGGCGTCGGAGTTCAGGAAACACACTGTTTCTGTCCCACTTGTCTTAACGTGGTTGGATGTATGCATAGATGACCGAATGTGTGCGGTGGTTTAGCCTCGAAATATCGTGAAGCTGTCACCGAGAGTGATCAACTGATTATCTCGGAATACGGCCCAGATGGTTTTGTTGAGCGAAATGCGTGTGGTGGTTTTATCCGACGATGATTTTGCTTCTTATGCAGACACTCACTCCTCCGTCGCCCACAAGCTTGATCTGTGCGGTTGTCTTAACCTGCGAGAAGAACACAAGTTCAGAGACCTTACTTCACTGAGCAGATTGAAACCAGCGAAGTCAGAGGCTGCACTTTCGGCGGCAGTGGGTTCAGATCAAGGCTATACGCAAAACAATTTTTAGACAACGTACAAAACAGACACGAACGGGCTCTGTCGGACACCACGAGGATCATCTCGTTCTCCCTCACCCGGCCGCTACATGTCGCCGCACTGCAGGCAGTACAGCACATAGAGTTCGAGGTCAATCTCCAGAGCTCTTACCAGGAAAGGAAATGGTTATAAGAGGGAAGAGAAAAGTGAGCCCCGTAACTGTCTGCATCTTCGTGCGACACCTCAACAGTAGCTCACAAGGGATGGGGGTGAGGAGGGATACAAAGGACAGGGTTAAAGGTATATATATATAGAGAAATATGCGCTGGGCCGCGAGCAAGCGAGGACATATTGAGGGGATAGGAGAAATAGGAAAGATGGAAACACGGTCACAGGAGTCCGAGGACGGAGCACCACTTGCGAGAGCTCTTGTCGGCGACAGGAGGTGGCGTAGGGCTGATCCAGTCGGCCAGAGCTGCGCTGACGTCGTCGTAGGGGATCGGTGGCAGGAAGTGGCGTAGAACCGGCCCAGTAGGCCAGAGCTGCGCTGTCGTCAGAGATCGCGAGGGCACAACCGGTGGGCACGGAATCCAGCGAGCGTGCTCCGTTACCAGGAAAGCGGAGGGCAGCAACCGATGGAGGTGCGGTTTCTGTACAACGAACTACCGAAGATCCTCCGCCGACGCTGACGACGATGCCGCGAAGAACACAATGAGGACGGAGGCCTGAAGTCGAAGCTTCGCAGCCAGAAGACCACAAGGTGAAACATGGTAACATCTCGGGAAACCGACGTAGCCGTGAACCGACGCCGTGACCTAACTGCAACGCAAAGCGACGAACCAGCAACCTCGACGTTCTCATAGAACTTCCCTGGAAATGTAGATGGGGTGGAATTCAAGGCACCCACTAATGCAGTTAACGCTTCTAATCAATAAATATATAAATGATATATCAATGACACTGCTTTAGAACACGTGTGAGTAAACGTGAGTTTAAATTTGAATGCAAGTAAGACTCATAGAAAAGTATAAGACCGTAGGTCGGCAAACGAAAGTGGATTTCACTAACAGTCACTCAAGAGTTAGATCTTGCGTTTTGACTCGCCAAAATTTTTCTGAGCCGTATTTATTCGGACTTAGACTCACTAAAATGTATCTTCAACCGGACTCACTCGGACTCAAACTCACCGAAATATTACTCACACGGATACGGGCACAGGCCCGGCACACCAAGCTTGTGCCCTCTACCCCCCCCCCCTTCCCTTAACCCACCCCGAATAGTTTTTCCCAAGGCATTGAGAACAAAAAATGACCCCAAAATCAAGAACGTGCCTCCCCCCCCCGCCCCCCCCACACACAATAAAAAAGTGGCATATCCCACGTAAAGTGGGAATCGATGATACGGGAAGCACGAATAAGAATGGTTGATATGTCATTTTAAAACCAGCACAATGTTACGAGGTGGAGGTAAATGATGCCGTACATGACTTCCGTGTCATGATTATCTTGTTTGGATGTGTCATTTATCTTCATCATCTATTCATGTGACGTGATATAAAATTTAGTATAAGTGTAGCTAGTGAAACGACCGTGAGCGCACTGTGAGTGGTATATTGTCATATTCCTACATGGCACGCGTGTTAGGATTATCATGTTTGCACCAGTCATATACTTCAACGACGTCAACCATTGACGATAACCATTGACGTCACCTAACACCAAATTTGGTATATGTGGAGTTAGCAAAATGCCCGCGAGCGCATGATGAAGGGCCCAATATACTTCAATGTAGCGTTGACACGCGCGCACGCTGGGCCAGCGACGCTACATAAGCAAAATGCGAGCACTCTCTAGCCTGACGCCAGGCGCGACCGGCGCGACCAGTGACCGTCGGCGCGGTCCGAGGGCAACCGGTGCGAAATGCGACATGCTGCATTTCGTGCCGATTCGTTACGCAGACAATACTGTGTCTCGCTTTTTTCGTGAAGGAGGTATGCCGGACGCACTAAAATGTGCATACGTCAAAGCAACACCGCGCGGCGCGCGCCTTTGAGTATATGGCAGGACCGCCGCCTGGCGTCGCAACGCCGGCGTGACCAGTCGAAATGAACGCTGGCGAGCACGCGCACCACGTCACGTCGAAATGTATTGGCGCCTTGACTGCGACATGTACTCATGTTCTCACGTGGCACACATCTCATGATTATCATGTTTGCACCAGTCATATACTTTCGTCCTGCATTGACGTCACGTAATACTAAGTTTGGCATGTGTGAAGATAGCGAAACGGCCGCGAGCGCATCATGAGTGGGGCATGTAGTCAAGTTGTTACATGACACGCATGTCGTGATTATCATGTTTGTATGTGTCATTTACCTATGTCGTCCGTTCACGTCGCGTAATATCGGGTTTGCTTTATGTGAAGCTAGCGAAACGGCCGCAAGCACATCATGACCGTAGCATGTAGTCATGTTGTTACAAGACACGCATCTCATGTTGATCATATTTGCACCAGTATCATACCTTCGCCATCCATTCACGTCCCGTAATACCAAATTTGGTACAAGTGAAGCTAGTGAAACGGCCGCCAGTGCATAATTAGCCTGGCATGTAGTCATGCTGTTACATGACAAGCAACTCATGATTATCATGTGTGCACTAGTCACATACCTTCGCCACCCATTCATGTACCGGAATACCAAATTTGGTATATGTGACGCTAGCGAAACAGCCGCACGCACATAATGAGCTTGGCATGTAGTCATGTTGATACATGACATGCATGTCATGATTTTCATATTACGGCCTGCCGCTTGTGTTCGCCATGCAATCATGTCATACCATACCAGTTTTGCAACATGCCACGTGAACAAAACCACCGCAAGGGCTGTAGGACCATGAAATGTAAATCATGACATTCATGACATGCATGTCATAGAGAGAGAGAGAATTTATTTACAGAAAGGTAGAGAGGTCGGCCTGAGCTATAGTTTGCTCTGGCCTGCTACTCTACACTGGGGAAGGGTGACTGGTAAGTGAAACAGTGATGAATGACGATGGTAAGGCTGAGATGGTATGTTCTTATTAGGCTGGGTAACTCTACAGACGTGCATCCAGTCCAGTGGCTTCTAAGAAAGCGATGGCGGCTCGTATAACCACATGTGTGTTGCTGGCGTCAGGCCAAGAACCTAACACAACCTCATCGGTTAATGGTCGACTAATATATCGGCCAATCGAAGATATCAGTTGCTGACGTTCGCTTGCATATGCTGGACAGTCGCAAAATATATGTTCGAGGGTTTCTGGCAACCGACAGTGACCACAATTGGGACCTGTGTCATTACAGCCAATCAAGTAGGTGTAACATCTCGTGTAAGCCACACCGAGGCGAATGCGGTGGATAATGCATGAGATGCTTCGCTTTAACTTGTGAGGCACACGGAACTTCATTTCCGGGTCGCATTTGTGCAGCCGCTTGTGCTGGTGTTCTGGTTTCTGCCAGTGCTCTAAGATGGAGTTGCGTATTACGCGTCGAAGTAGGATGTTAGTGTCTTGTCGAGAAAATGCGATGCATACTTCCGGGGCACTATTTAAAGCGCTCTCTTAGCTTCAGCATCCGCCGCTTCATTGTCCATTATGCCACAATGAGCAGGTATCCATTGAAATGTTACATCATGTCCATTTTTTGTAGCAATGCCAAGAAGCTCTGCTATTTCAATCGATAAAGTATGATATAGACCTTGTCTCATGAAGCCATCGATGGTTTGAAGAGCAGCTTTGGCATCGCGCAGTATCGTCCATTTACGAGTCGGTTCTGTCGACATGAAACGCATTCCTTCCCGAAAAGCAACAAGTTCCGCGGCTGTTGATGTGGTCTTGTGATCTATCTTGAAACGTCGAGCTATCTTTATGTGGGGGATGACAAAGGCTGCGGCGGAGGTACGCGACGTGGTAGATCCATCAGCATGCATGTCATTATTTTTATGTTACGACTGGTGAAATATGGTCTTCATACGTTAAAGAACCCAAGGTGGTCGAAATTTCCGGAGCCCTCCACTACGTTGTGTCTCATAATCATATGGTGGTTTTGGGACGTTAAACCCCACTTATCAATCAATATGTTCTTCATACAGTCACGTTATACCATACCAAGTTTGGTATCAATACCATTAGAGAAACGGGCAGGAGAGCCAGAAGCCCTAGGCGGATAGATAGATAGATAGATAGATAGATAGATAGATAGATAGATAGATAGATAGATAGATAGATGGATAGATAGATAGATAGATACGCTCAATGTCGCCGAAGTTCGCTAAGAAATGTTTTGCACTTAAAAACATTTCTTGCTTTGTCTCTGGCGCTAGCCTCCCTTGCAAGAAGAAGAATCGCATCAAGAGAGAGTAATCGCGTTCAATCACGTGTGCTGACGTAAATTCCTTCACCTCTGCAATCACCAGCTGTGTAACGCCCAGCGCATTCGTCGACACTGCAGGAAAGAGAGACAAGTGAACTGCCTTTCAGCGGGTGGGGCTTATATTTATTGTTAGCTTGTAACCAATCACAGGTCCTCGAGCCAAATAGCACTGCGTGATTTCGCCCTGGGATCAGGGTTGTATGCAGCAACTTTTTTCCGTATGGGGTGGGGGTGAGGGGGGGGGGGGTGAGTGGTGACATTTTCTTGATGTAAAGTAGATTGTGGTTGTGGTTATAAAAGGGAAGAGAAAAGTGAGCCCTCTAAACTGTCTGCATCTTGGGCGACACCTCAACAGTAGCGCACAAGGGATGGTGGTAAGGAGCGATTAAAAGGATAGGAGTAAAGGGATATATATATAGAGAGAAATGCGCAGGGACGGCGAGCGACGACAAAAGAGAGATAGGAAAGACAAAACAAGGTCACAGGAGTCCGAGGATGGCGCACCACTTGCTAGAGCTCTTGTCGGCGTCAACAGATGGCGTAGGGCTAATCCAGTCGGCCAGGGCTACGCTGTCGTCGTCGTAGGGCACCGGTGGCAGGAGGTGGCGTAGGACCAATCCAGTCGGCCATAGCTGCGCTGTCGCCTGAGATCGTGAGGGCACAACCGGTCGGCGCGGGATCTACCGAGCTAGTCTTGTAAAGTGGGGGCTAGTCGGGCTGGCAAATGGTCTACTTGCGTTATGTGTGCATGGCGAAAACATAATTTCCAGCGGGGGGGGGGGGGGGGGGGGGCATGGGACTTTTTCTGGCTGCGTCTGTCTGGAGTGTAACATGAAACAATTCGTTGTTGCCCAATTTCCTACGAAGCATCATCTAGAAATATTTAGGACTGACCTGAATGTTGCAACGTGAAGCTTAATTGTCGACTCAAAGGGGCACTCCGGAGAGTCCAGCGTCTGGGATGCCGACAAAAGTAATCAGTTCTTCCATATTTAAGTTACTTCTTTTCGTTTCTTAACCTCCTTCTACACGAGTAGCGTAGCAAACCGGACGCGCGGACGAGGCTACTTTCCTTATTTCTCTGCTTTGCGGCTCTCTCCTGTAAGGGTTGTTATGACCGTCGTCAGTGGGCGCCATGCTGTCGCTGAGAAGCGTAGCAGGGCAGCGCTCCCACGCCTGGAACCCCAGTTCTCTCGGAACCAGCGTCCAGAGCGGACGAGGGAGTGGTACTCTTTCAATCCTCAAACAAGTAGCCGACTGGCCGGCTGCCTATGCCCGCCAGGTATTGTCTCTGCTAGCGGGAGGATGAGACGTGGTGTCGCCACGGCGCCGTAAGCCGTTCCAGAGAGGACAACAAAGACAGCATATTCCTTGGAAGAAACCGCGGCCGCCGCCACAAATTGCCCTGCTAATTGAGCGGACAGATCGGCGGACCGTTTGATGTATGCTGTCAGGAGCTTGGAACCCCTCGACCAGCGGCACACACACGACGAGGAAGAGCCCCTCTGGCACCACTTTGCAGTGCAGTGATCACGACTCAATATTGGATGTTCACGTGGGCCGTGCATGCTCGTACACCTCGCCTGTTGTGTGTGTGTGATTGATGTTCCACTCAGGAAGGAGGAGCCCGACAGGGCTTATAACGACGCCGCTGAGCGCGGGACGTCGCTCTGAACCATGTAACGGTTCAACCACCACGCTTATGGTTTGTGAACTCTCAACCTCTCAATGTTGTAAATAAGTGTAAATAGGGCCATAAACCTGTTTGTTTTTCGTAGCCCCATTTTGTCAGCATTCGTTTCTTCCACCCAAAGTTACACCACGCTACCACGAAAGACCGGGTAGACCCCAGTCCGCAAGAACTGGTGATCAGCGCTGGGATTCGAAGCGACAACTGATAAACAGTGCTGAGATCCGCAACAACGGAGTACAGCGCTGGGATCCACAACAACTGGTTGTCAGCGGTGGGATACGACTCAGCACCGGGATCCACAACAGGGTATACAGGCAGCTACCTTTCCCATCTCGATTGGTGGTTTTGCGAGTGCCTCGAAACAAAAATATTTTTTTAAAGGGAGATGATTAGAAAGGGCGTGCAAGTGCAAGTGCAGGATGTGCCACACTTGCCAAGTCATTTGTTGCAAGCGCTATATCTTTATTGCCCTTTAACGAACGAAAGAAGCATGCATGTTCTGAAGAATTCAGGATAGGAAGCTTCCAACCCGCTTTATTTGCGATGACAATGAGTCCCGGGGTTGTATTTCAAGTTGACCACTTTCGCCGGTACTGCCAATTCTGCAGGACTTCACGAGATAGTCTCCGGAGGGGTCGGAGTACAGGAAAGACACTGTTTCTGTCCCGCTTGTCTTAACGTGGTGATGCATGTATAGATGACCGAATGCGTGCGGTGATTTAGCCTCGAAATATCGTGAAGGGGTTACCGGGAGTGATCAACTGATTATCTCGAAATACGGACCAGATGGTTGTGTTGAGCGAAATGTGTGCGGTGGTTTTATCCGACGATGATTTTGCTCCTTATGCAGACACTCACTCCTTCGTCGCCCACAAGCTTGATCTGTGTGGTTGTCTTAACCTGCGAGAGGAAAAACATAAGTTCAGAGACCTTACTTCAATGTGCAGATTGATACTAGCGAAGTCAGAGGCTGCACTTTCGGTGGCAGTGGGTTCAGATCAAGGCTATACGCAAAACAATTTTTTGAACACGTACAAAACAGACACGAACGGGCTCTGTCGGCAAAAAAAAATATGCGCATGAAGTAGGTGATCATGCATGGAGTAACAACTAGCTCAAGCTCACAACACGTTTAAATGGTTTCACGTTATGCGTTAGCGGTGTCAGCGCCCCACCGTGCTTTCTGTGTACAGCAGCACTCCTTCAATTCCAGCCATGCTCTTAGTGAGCGACACGTGTTCGTCTCATGGCAAGTTCAAAGAGAAACTGCTGATGACCGAGCCAGCGCGCTCTACGCCTCACGAGGCATGGGCGCGCAGGAATTAGAAGGAAGTGCCACCACCGAGTATCACGACAGCTTCAGGACAATAAGAAATGGACAGCACATACGAAAGCACACCTAATCAATGAATGTTAAGGCTCTTGCATATAGTGGGAGTTCTTTAAATAAGGGCACCAAAGAAATAGCACCGAGGCTACTGCACACGCGTGGTACCCAAAAAGCGTTTGTGTTTCGCGTTAGGAATGATATTTCTCGTATTTAGCGGGAGCTCCAAGGCGTTGCCTAAAACATCAGCGTCAAACAAACATCACAGCGCCAATTGAAGCAGTGGCTCCCTGCAAAGACTAGAGCGACTTTTAGAGTATAGTGTAACGCACAGTTGAAGGTTCAAATAATGAGATAAAGTGGTTGGAGCGAACTTGTGTCCGAGAAACAAACAACTCAAAGAAAATCTGTGTTGCCTCTTCAGACGACAGTCTCTTTTGAAAAGAATATTTCACCACTTCTTCTTTCATTTTCTTGTGTATCACGTGTGGGGCGTAGCTGCTGCCGCATGGCTCGTGCTGGCACGTGCTGCTTGCCGAATTGGCGATTTGTTTCCCAAGTACGCTGTCCACAGTCGGGAAGGCGTAAGGATCGGACAGCGCGTGTAGTTTCAAGGTGGCTTGTGCCAATACGGAAGATTCGATTGATATGTGGGGTTTAACGTCCCCAAACCACCATATGATTATGAGAGACGCCGTAGTGAAGGGCTCTGGAAATTTCGACCACCTGGGGCTCTTTAACGTGCACCCAAATCTGAGCACACGGGCCTACAGAATTTCTGCCTCCATCGGAAATGCAGCCACCGCAGGCGGGATTCAATCCCGCGACCTGCGGGTCAGCAGCCGAGTACCTTAGCCACTGCATCACCGCGGCGGGGCACCAATACGGAAGATGGAAGAATGAGTAAAGGTGGCGTCGCCACTAACACTTTGGTTTTGTATGTTTTCTTGTTAAAGAACCCCAGGTGGTCAAAATTTCCGGAGTCCTCCACTACGGCGTCTCTCATAATCCTATGGTGGTTTTTGGACGTTAAACCCCACAAATCAATCAATTTTGTATGTTTTCTCACTTAGCAAACGTCGTCTCGAGGCAAGGGTTGTGTTCTTGGTATTGTGAAAAAGAAACGTACAATGACTTGGGAAAAATCGCGGCACTCTATAGTGTACCTTTAGGGTGAAGTAGTCTGATGTCTCTCTTTCAGATTATCTCTCGAATCATTCACTACACTACTGTCCAAAATGTATTACAGACTGACATTTAGAATAACATTCATTTGGGCTTGTTGATATAAGTTTATGATTATAAAACGGCACGTGCGAGTGCCACAGCCAAAATTTTGCGACTCAGTCGTTATCGACCAGCACCAAAAAGGAACGATGACCGAGGCAGGTAATGGAAGCCTTTCGAATTAAGAAGGGTCGAGATAGTTGCGTGAACCAAGCGTCTGTAGTACTATCAACTTCATAGTTTGATATTTTTTGTATGACATATATGGTTGAGTGTTTCTGATTTTTAAGAGGTCCACACGTGCATTGTGATGGTATATATTCGAATCTCTCGTGGTGTCATTCTTTGAATGATATCATAGATTATCACAGGACTTTCTAATGACATATATTAATTTCCTTCACATATAAAATATTCTTCGAGTAAAACTGTTTTGCTGCTACTAAGCACTCTATTTAGTGTTCCTTCTATAATGTCCATTCTAATTGCGCTTTTGTTTTCATGTGCAGCAAGACGCGCTCACTCTAACGCCGAACATCGTTCCGCAAGACTCGTCAACTCACCGACGGTATGAACCACGGCACGTAGACATCTATTGAGCCGTGGTAGGTGTTTCCCTTCACGACGGGACACTGAAGGGCGTACTTGCACAGGTCTTTCTCCACACCGGGGATAGGCAGCATGAAGCCAAACACCTTCCATCTGGCGTCCAGAGTTACGGTGTCACTGTCTTGGTCTGCACGTGGCACAATGAAGCACATGCTTCAGAGGTGGAAACACTGACGTGAGTGAGCAACTTATAGTCTGAGTGCAGGCCTGTGGCCTAGCCACGCCCCCCCCCCCCCCCCCCTTCCTCTGTAATTTTGGTTGAGAGAACTGTTTTGCCGAAAATAGGTAATGAAAGCTGGCGTTAGCCTAAAATAGTCAAGGTCTTCAGAAAAGGACTGCACCACCTCAAAAAAAAAAAAACACTCGTGGCTATGGGCCTGTCTAGGTGAACCTTAGTAAGTGTAGTTGGACTAGTTGGTTCAACATATTGCGTAGGGCACAGCGGGGGAATTTCAAGAGAGAATGCACAGGCCGTGAACGACGCCATATCGCGAATGATCGTTACTATGAAAAACTTACCATCGTGAAATTTTGTGCGCAAGCGCATTTCTAGTGTTCTAAAATTTTAGAGTAATCTTTGTTGTCGTTTTCTGTATGTAACCCACCCGACTATGGCGCTCGAGGACAGGGGAAAAAATTGGGCAGATCCCACGTACCTTAGGAATCGATGTTATGCGAAGCATGCGGATGCAAGCTGACTGTGTTGTAATTTTTTTATTGGACGAAACGTCAGGAACTTGCGCTAAAGATATGTACAAATGCACACAGAGGCATAACTTAAACGACCAAATATGTTTTATATCATCAGTTGTTTACACTTACGTAACGACGCCAACAGGAACATGGATATTAGCAACACCAGAAGTGATAAGCTGATATAAAGCGCTGCTGCTCGCGAGGATCGTAGCCCTGAACACTGCTACATAAATAAACTTGAGTGGATGACACCTGACTACAACAGATTTTAACCCGACGTGAGGGCTGTATTGTAGGAGTATATAAGCATTTTTCATGAAATTCCAAAATCCAGCACTGCAACCACTGTTGGTGTTTCAGGAACTTTAGAATCTATTTGAAAGGTACTCTCGACACGTGGCGTGGTGTCTAGGAAAGAGACATTTATTCTTTGAATTCGTCGGGTCAACGCTGCCGATGTCAGCATTTTCTTAACGACCAAGCGTTAACATTACCCATCTGTGTTCTCGCCATTCCTGGCATAAACTGTCAAACAGATGTGGCACATACCTGCATACCAGTGTAACAAACACTGCAAATTACTATATATGAGTCCTTAGAGGAGCACTGACATCAAATTTCAAGATCTAGATGTGCCCATCATTCAGTCGCTCGGTATGCATAGGTCTTTTTGGCCCGATTTGAACAGCATCTGTCGCGTGGAAGTTATTTTACTTCAATGTGAAACAGCTTAGAAAAGCTAAAGAGAAAAACAGAAAATAGACTGCCCTGCGACATCGACACCAGTGCTACGTGTTTGGTGTGATACATTCCACAAATACCATACTGAGTGACGATGCCCAAGAAGCGATGAAGTTTACTTCCCGAGTGTTCTTATCGTGGCGCCCACTGGCGCCCAAGCGCAGAAACACACTCGCCCGTTGCGTCTGACCTTCGTCGCACCAGTTTGAATGATTTCGTGAAATTATCAAGAAAAAAACTCCCAAGCATTTCCCCGAGGGTGACCATGGTTAAGTGCGAATACACGGGGTGATGCGATGAGGGGTATTTATTAATTCGCACTATTATACTTATTATTCACACTATGGTGCCTTTATGGTGTAATGGTTCCTGGGAATCGCAATTTGATCACACCGGGGAGTTTACGTTAACTCACTGGCGAATGCCAACGTATTTTAACTTTACTCCCCCTCACGACCCGCTCTCGACGGGACACTGAGAGAGAAGGCGGGCGCGCGAGAGAGAGGGGTGCGTGCGCAGCTGCAGCGAGCGAGGAGAGCGGAGGAGCGAGCGAAGGGGGAGGGTGTATAAGGCGCGTTACTGACACCGATATCAGCGTCGCGTCCGTGGCTTATTCGGTAGAGCGTCGCGCTGCGGCCCGCCAACTTCTCTTTCTTTTAAAGATAGAGAGAAGACTGCGGACGCCGCCGACGGCGTTGGATGGTTTGGGGTCGCTTATGAAGTGTATTCACACTTAAAAAAAGCACCTTTAAAAGAACGGCGAAAGAAAAGAGCATGGTTAAACGTGTGCTTGTCGGTCAGCATGTCGGGGAATCGTTGTGAGTTGCAGGTGAGTTGCAGTCGTTTAGTTCGAAGCACGGAAAAAGAGTGACGAGGGTGTCTTTTCATATCACGTATGTGTTACACATCAACACGATCACAAGCTATCAAAAGTGGTACAGTGCAGAGTCAGATATCAGCGCTAACAAGTGACATGCAGGTATCGTTGAATTTTACTTCATCTGCAGACTTTGCGTCCACGTAAAAGCGGTAATACCGTGTCAACCTCGAGAGGCTGGATAGGTGGGGCCATCTGGAGGCGCAAAAAAAAAAACCTGGCAAACAAGAAATGTATTCTATTTCTCCGCTGATGCTCATTCGCGATAGCTATATTGCTTTGACCCCTCTGCGTATACATGGACGCTTTGCACGCCAAAACACACCAATATAGCTAACTGAGACACACGAGCGAACATGGCTGAAGCGTGCATCCTCGGGCACCTCTGCAGTGCTGCTTGGAACGGCGTGCATTTCGGAATCACTGTTCTGCAAAAGGTCGATCGAAACAAAAATAATTCGCGACGTCACGAATCGCGGGGATTCCAAGCTCCAGACTATCGTATTGAACCCAAGTGGACACTTTGTACGGCGACGACAGCAATGCAGGTGACAAGGCATGACTGAATGTGTCCGCCTAGCAGACGAAATGTTTGCGGAGCAGATGAGCCTGACGTCACTCTTTTGTGTGAAGATGTGGTAAGCTGTGGCTTGATCTGATGCTGACCGCGAGGTGGCGCCACTGCTGGTGCTCCCAGCGCTAAAAAGGCGGGACTGCCAGCCGTTTTGAATATTGCTAGATACCAGTCACATAAATCAATAATAGTGATAGTTATTCATCCCTAACTTGCGTCTTAGATCGTGAATCACTGCTACGGGATCTATAGCTACTAGCTGACGCAAAAATCTTGGCATGAGTAAATTTGATGTCAGTGCTCCTTTAAGCTATTGTCAAGCACAGCTCGGATACGGCTGCGTATGACACGAGCATCATTGCCCCGTGCATCGAGCACTTCATGACAATGAAGTGTGTTCTTTAATGCTAAGAACCACGTTACGTCTCTACTGGGCGTGCCTGGTAAAGATACGACGTGCGCACATCTAGGGCGTTCAAACGAAGACCTCAAACCACCTCGTAACGGCCGCACCAAAGTTTAAGATGCGGCGTAAACTGCAACTAGATGGCTGCTTCGCATAAAACATATTCCCACAATGAGCAGTAACTTTTTTTGTTACAATTCCCACATGTAGATCTCGACGTAACTTTCCCAAGCGAAGCTATGCTAACCAACACACCCCACCGCGTTGATTACACCGCCCCAGCGACTCCACCAAGCGTAGTCGACGGAGCAGAATCACGAGTTTGAGTCAGGGAGTTATTTAGCAGAAACACGAAAGACTAAACCCTAAACAATATTTCGTTTCATACTGTCGTGCCGATTCGGTATTTATCATTTCATTACCACGAGGGGACTATTATGTAGCAATGAAGGAAAAAAAAATCTAATGCTTCAGCATCACTTCAAACAACTGCGTTTGATTGCCCTAGTGCGAAATGACGTTTCGATGCGAGATTGGAATCTTTTTCAACATAATGCGAAATGTTACATTTCAAAGGAATCGTGATTATATACCAGAAGATTGGTTAGCCTGGTATAACAAAAACATTGTATTCGAAGAACCTACCTGAGATCACTGAAAATCGGATGGTAGTTGTGTTTCCACGCTTGAAGACGCAAGGCTCGCTGTCACACGGTTCTATTTCGACCGACAAGATCTTGGCTTCGGATCCTGCGAGAAAGAATGGCTTATAAAAATCGTACTACGTGCAAAAACGAAAAAAAAAAACAAAAAAAAAAAAAACGACCGATCTGTGCGGAAGGCGCGGCACAGTCACAACTAAAGCTGGAAGAGTGGCCTTTCAGAGCCTGTTCTCAACACTGATTGGGTAACTGCTGCAATCACACTTGCTTGATGCCCACTACGGCATTAATAATAAAAATTTTGGGGTAGTAGGCCGGTGTTCGCTATGCTATTTTTCGTCCTTGTTCGGAGAAGCGCGATGTCATCTAAACTATTGCGAGAAGTTTTGTGCCAATTGTTTCATGCATCGGCTGACGACGATGAGGAATTATGTCCGAAGTGGGTATGCGCCACAATTTGTAGCTGAACAAAAACAAGCTTTTGTAATGGGTTGGAGCATTGGACGACCCACTAGTTGCGCTATTCGCATTGTGCGACGATTGATTGTTATTTAGCTGTTCAAATCGGCATATAGGTCGTATTAACGCGATTAATTTCCCGACATCAAGCCTGCCTAAGGCAAGTTTGCCAACTAGTCCCAAGCAGCAGCGTGGCTCAGTGCTATAATGCTGAGCTGGCACTCAGCAAATGCGTGTTTAAGCCCCACTGCGTAATTGGTACAAGGTTTACTTTTTTTTTCGAATTTCACGTGATGCTGGTTACGGACAATGGCGGTGGCGTACAACTACGGCGCTGCGCGAGCACCCGAGTTGTGATCTCGTAACAGCTTTCGCTGTAAAAGTACGTCCACACACGCCCGACGATTGTACCGGGAGACAGGAACGGGAGAAGCTGGATCAAAGCTTGAAAAGGCGAGAATGTTATGTGCGAAGCTACATTTAAAAGTATAATAATAATAATAATCGGGGTTATACGTCCCCTAACCAAGATACGATCATGCGAGACGCCGTAGTGCAGAGCTCCGGAAGTTTTGACCATCTGGTGTTCTTTAACGTGCACGGACATAGCGCAGTGCAAGGGCCAGCCTTTATCATTTTCGCCTCATTGAAATGCGACCACCGCTGCCGGGATCGAACCCATGACCTTCGGGTAAGCAACGGAACACCCTAGTCGCTGCTCCACCGTGGCGGACATACATTTATAAACAATACGTAGTCTAAGACAGCTGAAGTCAATATTCAGTTACAAAAAAAAAAAAGATACAGGAGAGGGAAGACAATGCTGAGAAGTCAACCAGACACGCGTGCGTTTGCTACTCTGCGTAGGGAAGGATAAATTCAATATTTCTTATAGTAATGAAATAATTTCAACAGTGCTTTAGGAAATCCGCGAAGTGACGCGCGCATTACTGCATGATGTTTGTTAACTATGCGGTCTCCAGCAATCCACGTCACCTGAGGTGCACACCTGCGGATGCTACGACAAAAAGTAACGAAATAAATAAAACTCGCGCTGTATCAACTGGTGCTATCACCCACGTATGTCAAGGAGAATCAATAAACTGTGATTTAACGAAAGCAGCACTGATGTGAAACGTATATTATATATTAGGTGACATCAGCGAATACCTGCCAAGCACATTTTACGTATTCTTTTGCATGAAATACAACTGTCAAACGGGTTACAGGCAACATAAAAAATGCAAGATAAATAAATCATGGTATTGCTACGTCTTCATGGCAAGAGCACAAAGTGTAACAAAATATTAATCATGAATTATGAACTCCGAATATTCATTAGGATTACGGAATAAGTACATACTATTTGTGCATGCATGCAGCATTATGTTAAAATCACAGTGATGCAAAATGTTTTAATGCGCACATAACATAACAGGAAGTGATGTTAATTTAGGCCGAACTGTTTTTATGGAACAAAACTTGATAGGATAGCAAGTAAGTTGCTGTCGCAATAGATGCACAATGCTAGGTTGTTGTATTCTATTATTGTTCGTGGAACAAATAACATCACCTTAATAATAATTGACATAATAGAGAAGTGAAAGAATGTCTCGACACCTACAAGGATTTTACGAATTTCTCCAGCTGGTCATAAAAATTTACTTGTAGCCGTCCTGTAGTAGAAGTACACCAGGCTGCAGTTTCGCGATGTTCATCGTCACAGCTCATTTTCGCTCCACATAATGGAGCAAGCGCCGTACTTGCCTTGGTGCCTGCTCAACAAGTCATAACCCGTTACTTTTCCTGCTAATTAACTACTTAACTTCTCACTTAAAAAACACATTGAGATGGTCTAATTAGAGTTGTCTTGTACAAAAGTTAATGTGCATAGCAGAAAAATGGATGTTTGAGCGCGTTGGAGTTACATAGCATTTGCTAAGAACCGCCCACTTGGGCAGAAAGCGTACAAGTTATTCCTTAGCAGCAGTGAGTGTAGTCTGAGATTTTACAAGGAATATGGTATAGAGATTTGAAAGTCTCGTGTCGTCCCTGTCTTACGGTTATCTTCTCAGTTCCTTCTTTCTTTCTCCGTTCTCGCTAACTTATAAAACGCTGCGTGCCATTGAAATTATAATAAATAGAATGGCACACATTTATGCCATTGAAAAAAAGGAAGGATACGAGATCATGTAAAATGAGAGTGCGGTACTACTACAAGGGCGAAGCTTCTTAAGAGATGGGTCTGTTCATCCTCCGTCGTTTTCGTACGTAGCCACCGGGATGCGACATGCGAGATAGCGGTACTTTGAGTGTTAACTAAATGGACGCACGGACGGACGGACAGATGGGCGGACGCATGGATGGACGCACGGATGGTCGCGCGGACGGACGGAAGCAAGAACGAAAGGACGGAGGGAAACACGGACGGGCTGGCGAACGCTTCGCCCCACTCATCATCAACTTCGTGGATATGCTTTGATGTTTTATACAGAAAGAAGCACGAACAGAGAGGCAAAGATTCTGATGCGCTATAGCTACCCGAGAACACATACTATAAGAATACCAGGGACCAATAGACAGTAATGAGAACTTTGGAGCGCCGCGCTGCTCAGCTCAGCCTTGCAAGAGCAACTATGTGCAAATTTCTCAGCACTGGCTAACCTCCTTGTCTTTCCGTATAATTTAGCGGATGAGGAAGCGGTTGGGGGTCAAGCTCTCCTGGCTGGCACCTCCCGGTCCACAAACACGCCGGATACGAAACAGTCATCGACTCTGCTACACATAGCTTCCATCACATGTCGGAAGCAAACATCCTAAGAGGTCAATTGAATGGAGGAACCGTGAACATGTGACATCAACAGAAACTTGTGGCTGCTTACCGCAATCCTGGTATTTAATATCTCTACATTGAACAAAGGCCAGTCCAACGAGAAGAACGATGACAACGGAGTTGTTCATCACGGCAAACCGTTATGCGTGGCCTACGACCTGGGGGTGAGCCGTTGTAGTGATGTAGATTCCGTGCCGCGGCAGATATGGCCCTATATACGGGGTTTCAACTGAGGGCCTTCCAGCCTGTCCACGTGATTCTGTAAACACGCGCGGATGCTGCTATCACTCACGCAGTGTTACGAGGGTGGACGCTAACGTTTTATCTGCGTGCCTAGGGCTACACACCGCGTGATAGGCGGTGCTGGCAAGTAAGCGCAGAAAATACATGTTACATAACACCATGTGCCATATCTGAAGCATCCATTATCTATTGTTCGAATGTGAGCTCGATGGATTGGAGGTCGTAATCTGGATGTACACAGTGTGTGAGACGTGAGTGACCATCCATAAAACACTGAAAATATCCGAATTCATTGGTCTCGTCTTGCGTAAGAATGGAATGTGTAATACCTTAATTGATTAATTATAAAAAGGGGGATGGACCAGGTGAGGCCGTGATGAGGCCGGGATGAGGTGAGGCCGTAGACACAACCAATCCAACAGATTATGAAACTAAGGGAAGTGTAATGTGATTTTTATTAAGAAGCCAAGCTCTTTGTATGCTCACATAATGTCCGTTGACACCGTCGTTGTCCCAGCTTCCCGTCGCACTGAAACAAAGGTGTTACTTATGCCGTACATCGAGCGTTCATAGCACGCATATCGTTTAAACATGTACCATACTTTGCCTGTCCGTCTACCATTCTCAACCATTTGCCACAGGATGACAAAGTGTGTGAAGTTATTATCATAGAGTCGTAGTCAGCACATACGTTTAAGAAGGGAGTGACATTAGTGATGGCGCCCGTCAACGCAGTGCTATCGTCAGAGTGAGGGGGCCCGTCAGCGTAGTTGAATCGTGACTACAGCGATGGGGCCCATCTGCGTAGTACTATCGGTAAAGTGAGGGGGCTTGTCACAATAGCGATGCAGCTATAGCGATGGTCCCCGTCACTATAGAGCAATGGAAAAATAAAAATGGGGCCCGTTGCGGTAAAGATGGAATCATTCTAGACGCCACCACCCACTTGTTGTGGTGCCGTAGTCGGTTGACACACAGTTGGGAAAGCGGTTGGACTGCAGGTCGTCAGTTCAAAGTCCCGTTTTGCTATCTTTTACTTTTTATGGTAATGCGTCTAGATTAACGTTACTGCTCTGAATGAGTCGTAGTTTTGCTTTTATGCAAAAACATAATCATGTCGCTGTTTGTGCCGGTTGTTAGACAGCCCTACCATGTGGATTTTGTTACGCACTGTCGTTGAGGTCCGACATCGTTTCGAATAGCGCTTTCCCTCTTTTTTTATTTTTTTTCTCTCAGAACTGTTTCAAGTATTGTTACTTGTTCCTATATGTTGAGTGTGTTTATTTATCGAGGACATAACTGTCAAGCTTCTTTTACGTCCAACGTAAAATGAAGACCTTTCCTCGATGATTTCCGAGATATACTGCTCTGGGCCAGCAGATTCCGTTGTACGCTTGCGAACTAACTTTATTATCACAATGAACAATCATCCTTGGTGCTATTTCCGTCCCTTTGTATTCATACTGTCGCTTCAACTAATAATTTGTTACACATAGTGTGATGTTCCCAAATTAATCGATCCGTTCTGCGTAATTTTTGTATCGCTGTGTAAGGCAGACATATAGGCTGATGCCAAACGTTGTGCAGGTCAACATAGAATTCGCTTTGACCTTGAGGGCTGTGTAGTTGAACAGTATGTTTCAATAAGTCCCAAAACCACAATACCTATGAACACAATACATGTTGCTCCGAATTCGGGCATACTTCACCTGCAGTCGCACACGCAGACTTTATGAGATCGAATCGGCTCCTTCGAACAAGGGGATATGCACGCCACTTTCGTCCCATGAACGTGTGTTATAGGGGAGACCCGCTCAAGTTTGCCCGCCGACGCCAGCGCTTGCCTTTGGCTTCCACGCATTTGCGAAGCACGCGATGCACGTGAAACGTCCCTTGTTCCACGGTGTCACCCCAACAGAAAAGGGGGAACTATTGCTGCGTCGTCAACCGTCACAATAGCCGTGCAAACACGAAGGGGTCGACTCCACCAGTGAAATTCTACCGATTCTCAAACCGATGGTACGAAACAAGCAGACGACAGGAGTGGATTAAAGCAGTGCGCCCCAAAAAATGTAAAAAACATTTTTAAATTAAAATTAGCACGCGAACAATGCATTCATCATAATGGGTGTTAATTCCTGCATCACCGTTCCTCTTATCTATGGAGTTTCTGGGAAATGCACGTCCCCATCTTAAAAGTATAAATTACCACAATACTTTCAATTTCCGTCTTTAGAGCAATGTTAAAAAATTGCGAAGAAATCTGTTTATGCTGCTACTATTATTGGATATTGTAGGGGACGTAGTAGTTGAAGCTGTGTACACAAGTGGTATTGGTGGTGTGTGGTTATATATTTTTTATATCTACGCAGTGCCGGCGGAAGTGTGTGGTTGCCAAAATCTTGGACAATGATTTGTAGCAGACATTTTGTGGGAAACTGCAAAAATGACTCAAGTCTGCACCCGTCTTATGTGCCGACAGTGTTTCCAGTGGCTTACAATAAACGGGCACCTCATGCAGAAACGGCGCCGAGGTATGATAGGCAGTGAACCGCATAACTATGTGTGCATTTTAAAGCATTTTGTGAGGACTGTTGATTTATGATTTCCTGCTCAGCGAGAATTCGTCCCGCGTATGTGCAATTATCAAGTAAAGCTAAAATAGAAGGGTTTTAAACAAACATGACACTTTCACACCACCACGTTTTAGGGTAAGATGGGAATGCGGTTAGTAATAAGCACATTGCTTTTTTGATAGTTTTCATACAATGTAAAAATGATTCAAGCAACAGACAATGCAAAATGTTTAATCAATAAGTTTTCATACGTAGCTATCTCCGTGAAGTTCTCGTATAAAATGCTTCTGTGCACACAGATGGACACAATTGCTAGTTTTTTTAATGGGGCATTTTGCCATCGTACATGTTTTCATAGAGTTTGATTTCATATGCAGTACATGTTTTATTTTGTAAATGTAAGGCGTTACTAACAGGATCACGGAAAATCCTTAAACGTATACTCATTTTCAGACTTCTTGTACATTTCATACTTGAAAATGACAACAAAAATTATTATCTGGCGCACTATAGATATGCTCAATGCTGATCACCGTACAATATATGAATAAAAAGAAAAAACTCCACCGTATGAACGTTGTTGTGAACGGCACGATCTAATATTTGCCACAACCTTATTTTGCTTAGGTGGAAGCGTCATTCTGTGAGGGCAGCCAGATCAGCACAAAATTTTGTGGAGCAGGCTGTGCCGCAAGGTATTGCTCAAGACGACCCAGCAATGCAAGATGAAGAGAACTCTGTTTTCCTCGATGTCTTAGACAAGCTTTCAAGTGATTTAGAATCACTAGAGACGCCAGTGATGCAATTACATTTGCCGCTGGAGATGCGAAGCTCCCGTTTGAGTGGACACGACCACGACAACTACAAAAAAATGAAAAAAAAAATGCATTAGCCGTTGTTGCACGTCCATTGGCAGATACAGTGAACTAGTTGTTACTGAGTGTGCAGGGCAGCCCGAACAACACGGTGCATTTAGTGACCAAGATTAAATGCCTTTATAGCAATGTGCTCTTCCCCTGCAAGTTAGACACACACAAAAGAGTTTCTCTGAAAGCTGGGCGCTCATCATGATGGTACGCACGCTGTTCGTGAACTCAAAGTACCCGCGATGAGAACGGTGATAATGCAAGGAAGGACACGCGAGATAGATGTAAATTTTCGTTGTGGGTAAGAAAGAAGCCCCAAATAGACGATTTATTTGCTGTGTATATACCCCGAGATAACTTGGGTGGGTGCTAGTGCATTAAGGTATCACAACTAATAGCAGTGACAGCGCAAGAACCACTTAACCTATATAAAGCACGAGAAGCGGCCTGACCCATGCATCCAGTAACAAACATAGTGCATAGTACACACAGCAAACCAAATAAAACAGGTATATAATTATGAACGTACAGAAAGTTGTATTCACCTCTAACCCCACGTTGTAAACAGTGTCGTCTTTCACTTGCGAAACGCACTTCGCTCTGATGAAGACGGCGTCGTCTGCTACAACTTGCTTCGCATTGGCTACATAACTGAGCAGACGCTGCCTTTTTACCGAATCGCTGCCACGAAAAACATCCTCAATTGCGGCGATCCTATTAAACGTGGGCAGAAGCGTATGCATCATAACCGCGCGCCACGCGAAACTCTCAAAAACACGTGCAGAACCCGTGCAGCGTGCGAGCAAAACAACGCGTTTTCAAGGCAGGTTGAAGGGGACAGCGGAAGGGTCAACACTCGAGTAATCAGTTTTCTCCCCGCATTGACTGACAGCGCCAGGCTGTGCAGCACCTCCCTCGGCGTGGGTCTCCCCTATTGCTATGCAAACGTAGATGCAAACGTAGAGCTTTCTACAGTGTGGTAGATGCTTGCACGGTGGTGTGCTCTCTGTTGCTGCCTCCATATCCTGAGACGATGCTTGTCCTGCGGGAGCGAGACGTGTTCCGCATCGTTCTCGGCGATTGAAATGCTAGTGCGCCGAAACGCTCGTTGCTTTAATTTGCCAGTGTTGGCTGGTGCGGCTGTGGGCTTGGTTAAACCACAGGGTGTGACTGAGTCGATGAAAGGAGTACGCAAGAATGAACGTGCATTGAGCAGCGTCGGTGTGTCCTAGGCTGAGGGAAGGTAGCCGTAGGGAGTTTGAACGCAGTCACATTGCCCAGTAGTGAAGACAAAAAGACAAATAAAAATTTCTCCAATCAATTCAGTGAGAGCACAAACAGCTTCACTGTGTTGGAGCCCGTCACTACAGGCAGCGTTGTATAAACGGGCCACCTCACAATTATATCAATACGGCTGATTTATTGCCTCGATTCAGTAATGTCTGTGCGCGTGCTTTTAATGGTGATGGTGAAAATCGCTACACTTGCAGCGG